TGTTATTTCCTTCCTTCTGCTTGCTTTAGGTTTATTTTGCTCTTCTGTTTCTAGTTTCTCGGGGTGAGCACTTAGATGATTGATTTGAGGCCTGTCCTCGTTCTCATGCAAGCACTGAGGGCTATAAATTTTCCTCTTCACACTGCTTTAGCTGCATCCCACGTATTTTGATACGTTGTGTTTCATTTTCATTCAGCTCTGTGTGTTTTTATTTCAGCTGAGGCTTCCTCTTTGACCCGTGGGTTACTTAGATGTGTGCCATTTAATTTCAAATGTTGGAGATTTCCTTGTCTTTCTGCTATTGATTTCTAGCTTGACTCCATTACAGTCAAAGAACACACTTTGTATAATTTCAACTTTTTTTTAATTTATTGAGATTTGTTTTATGGCCCAGGATATGATCAGTCTTGGTGAATGTTTCATGAGTACTTGAAAATATAATATATAGTCTGCTGTAGAATCTGCTTTACAATCATAAACTTTATATACCCCTCATCAGATTTTAGGGTTAAAGGAGAAAGTTGGTCAAATTACCCTTTTCTTCTTTAAAAAAATCGTGGCCATGCCGTCCAGTCCTGTGCCTCCAGTGTAGGGGACTGAGTTGTTCATCCATCTACCCAACACGCAAACACGTGTATGTTCCTACATTCGAGTGTTGCAGAGTGCCCCTTCTGTGGGAGGTGGCCAGCTGCGTGTAGAAGGTGTAGCAGAGATACGTCGGTGCAGCCTCTGCCCTCAGGGCTAATCAGCCTAACAAGACGTGAGGTGGACAGGCCCGGGGGCAGGGCCGTGAGGAAGGAGGTCCGTAGCAGTGGCTGTGGCAGCCCCGTGAGGAGTGACAGGAAACACCTGGGGGAGTCAGGTCAGTCTCGTAGAGGAGGTGACCATTGGCACCCTGACGGAGTTGCTTTTGCAGCAGAGAATGGATGAGCAGAAACAGAACCCATAAAGGCAGAGCGTGAAGGAGGTGTGGGAGAGTATGAGGGGTTTAGCTTGGCTTTGGTGTCCTCTGTGGGGGCGGGGGTGACCCTAGAGAAACAGGCTGGGGGCTGGCCCAGAGGAGTCTCAGTTGCTAGGTTCAGGCACGTGGACAGAGGTAATCCAGGCGCTGGGGAATCACAGAAGGAAGTCCACGAGGGCTGTTATTTGAGTAGCTCTGTGGTTTGGGGCTCCATCCGGAGGAATCGTGATGATGCACTGGAGACAAGGGAGAAGCAGTCAGAGGCAGAGGTGGGTAATTTGGAGCCTCTACCCCAGCGGTGGGGACAGCAGTCGGGGAGAGTCTAGACGCATGTCACAGAGAAGTGGGGCCAGACAGACTTGGGGGTGGGAGAAGGGCTTCTCCGGGACGACTCCAGCACTCCGACACTGCGGGGAGGGTGATGCCAGTAACCAGGACGTGGGGTGCAGGTCCAGGGTGAGGACGCAGGTTGTCACCAGGACACCCTCAGTGTGTGGTGCCCGGGGGACATTTGAGTGGGTGTTGCCCATGGACGGTAGATTCTGAAGAGGTAGATTTGAGAGTCCTTGCAAGTAGCAATTGTGACCTTACTTCCCAAGGAAAGGTTAAGGACTGTAATTGAGCTTGTGGTCTGACCACAGATGGAAACATTTGAAATCAGCTGCGCCTCAGAGCGTCCTTGGCGGGTGAAGCGCTTTGGGACTCAGGTGGGCTTCGGGGGGGCCTCGCTGGGCTCTGGCACAGTCGTGGCCGGGGGCTGGCGTGGGGAGGGCTCCGGCTCCGGCTCCGGGGCCAAGTGCGGCGGGCCGAGCAGGGCGCCCGGGCTGGGTCTCCGGGTGAGGAAGAGACGTTCTGCCTGCGTGGAGGACCGCCCTCCGCTCCCCTGTGGGGGAGCTGCCTAACCCTGTCCGTAAGCGGCGGGGATGGGGGAGTCCCCGTGACTAAGGGGGTGACGGGAGCCCTAGGAACGTCTATCGGGCACCCCTGATGGCTCGTCATTATTCAGACGTTTTCCTCAATCTCGTGACTGAGGGCATCACCTCGGCTCCAAACACAGTGGGGCCAACTGGAGATCGGGTTTTACTTTCCGAAGGACATTTATTAAAACCAAAAGTGGCAAAAAGCAGAGCCTTCTTCAGATAAAAGAGAGAAGGCTCCTGGTTGAATTCTTTACTAAATGAAGTCTCATTATTGCCAGTTAAACGGGCAGGCGCACACTGTGGGGAGACACCCAGGCTGCTGTGCAGCCAGGGAGCAGAGCAGTGGAGGCAGCAGGAAAAGGAGAAACAGGACTTCCCTCCCAGGATGCAGAAGGCTGGCAGTGATGTCATCCTCTTGAGAATTTTCTAACTGAGCCACCACTGTTGACGAGCAGGGAGCCTGTTGCCCCTACTTGGGAAAACGGAGCCTCGTGTTAAATGTGGACGAGCTGGAAGGTGGGCGGTGGGGCTGGTGTCAGCTCCGGGGCTGCAGCCTTTCGAAGAGAAGCGTGGCCCCTCGGGCGCTGGACGAGGGGTCTCCGTCGCTCTCTAGTGATGATGCTGGAGTCAGTTCCACATCCAGCCGCTGCCTCCTCTGAAGCTCTGATGAAATAAGAACTTGGAGGGGTGGGGGGTGGGTGACACAGGAAAGAAGAAACAGAATATAAATTTAAGCGTAGACGTCGCCAGCTGGCTCCAGCAGCGCTGGAGGACAAGCGTACTCGGGCAGGAATCCAGGAAACAGAAACACCGAGAATATAAAAGGAGCAAAAAGCTTCCTTTGCTGCTCTATCGATCGAAAAAAGGACAAGTCCGTTCAAAACCCGTCAGAATGTCTTTCTGGAAACTCCGACCTGGGGGCGGATGAGATGGTCTTGACAGACGTTCTGTTTCACCATGTTCCACTCCGAGAGAGATTCCTCAGCGTGTCTGAGCTTATCTGTAAAAGTCTTTCAACAGTTTCACCCGGATGAGTGGATTGGCTGAGGTGGTTCCCGGTTTTAAAAACCACAAGCTGTGTCCCGAGGCTTGTGTCCAAGTACCAGCCGAGCACCAGGTGTCGGACTCGCCTTAGAAACCTGCCGTCTGCGCGAGGCTGACAGAGGCCAGACCAGGGCCGAGGCTTGTCCGCTGGGGTCTGCTGACCTCTGCTCTCTGGTGGGTGTTCAGCCGCAGGTCTGCCGCTCTGCCCTCCTGTGTTGGGAGGGGGCTGCAATGCAGAGAAAGTCGAGGGAAAGCACACATTTTTCCAGACATTTCCCATGCCTGCCCTGCGTGGGGTCCCTGGGGAGAGTGAGTGGGGGTCCGGCCTGCAGTTCTGGGTCTGGTCAGCAGGCATCACCCTGCAGCCAGGTGTGGCCGGCCCTGCCCCCCGGGCCAAGGCTCCCCGCTCTGGCTGCACACGTCCTTACGGCCCCACAGGAGCCAGACACACGACAGGGCTGCAGAGGCGACCGGAAATGCTGGTGCCAGTGGGTGCTTTCAGGGTCCAGCCGCCTGACTGTGCCAGTGAGATCAGATCAGGGCTTGTGTCTGAATCTCCTGCGGTCTGGGCTCTGCAGCTCCCACCCTGGCTGGGATGAGGCTGAGTACAATAGTCTGTGTGACCGTGGCCAGGTCGCCTTTGACGCCTTGGACTCCCTGACCCTTCTGGGTGTTCCCCGGCGTGTCCTGCCGGTTCTGGCTCCCCACTTTCCACCACTGGAGCGTCCCGCACAAATCTGACCGGAGAGAACCAGGCTGCTGTGGTAACAGATGTCTCTGTTTTCATCACTAGAGCCGGGAGCTGTGGGGCATCTGAGTTTCACGGAGATTCTGGACACATCTCTCAAGGTCAGCTGGCAGGAGCCCCTGGAAAAGAACGG